ACTGTGTAGAATAGCTCAACTTGATAATGATGTAAATTTACAATTTGTAGAGCTTTGCGTCATGGCCGCCTACTAACTACAAATATTTCATCCATATTTGGAATGAAAATCTCATGTTTGTTACAAAATGAAGACACTTCAGGCAATAAAGATTCTCATTTATCATCTCTCATCGTCTGCAATTGTTGTTTAGATACTTTAACAAGTGTCATAGCATTGACAATATCTTGATTTTTCTTTTGCAATGCTAACGACAACTCATTTGTAATCCCTAAAATATTTTTCATCAAGTGTAAAGTGAAGGCAAATTCAAAAGATAGCATTAACTTCATCATAGAACGAGCTTCAACTCTTTGCTCGGGTTGTAAGCCATCCTCTTCAATAATCTCAAGTACATCAATCGAAAAAGAGAACATCAAAATCAAGTTGATAATTGTCCCAAAATGTGATCCCCAACGTGTATCACCAGCACGTTTAAGACTAGTCTCTTGATTCAAACCTCGCCCACTTCTAAGGTCACCATTGTCTAGTGCTTCTGTTATTTTAGCAAATTGCGCATCTCTAAGAGCATCTCGTATCTTGCAAGAGCCACCAACAACATTTACTATGTTAGCAACAGAGCAAAAAAGTTCAGCAACGTCAATGTGCTTTTTAGTAACAGCTACAAGAGTCAATTGAAGTTGATGGGCAAAGCAATGAACATAAAATGCAGATTTATTCTCCCTCAAAATTAAAGCTTTAAGACCATTGAATTCACCTTGCATGTTGCTGACTCCATCATAGCCTTACCCTCGTAGTTTTGATATACTCAATCCATGTCGACAAAATAAGGATTCAATTGCTGCTTTAAGTGATAAAGCGGTTGTATTTGATACATGTACAATACCAAGAAACCGCTCTATAACAATGCCCTTTTTGTCCATATAACGTAGAACAACTGCCATTTGTTCTTTAACTGATATGTCACGAGACTCATCAACTAAAATTCAAAAAAACTCATTGTCCAAATCCTTTATGATAGCATTGATAGTCTCACATGCAGCAGCATTCACAATGTCTTTCTGAATATCATGGTGAGTTAGCTTATTATTTTTCGGAGTATTCCCCAATACAACTTTATTGATAGATTCATTATGATCCGCCAAAAATTGTAGAAGTTCAAGGAAATTTCCTTTATCACTTGAATCATCAAATTCATCATGACCACAAAAAGCCAACCCTCGACGCAAAAAGAATCATATGCAATCAACAGTTGCATTTAAGCGAGTCCGATATTCAATTTTTTCTTGATTTGACTGCTTAAGAAAAACACTTTGAATGTGTTGCTTTTGCTTCATAAGATCTTCACACTTTTTCACAGCTTGGTTGTGAGCACTATTAACACTTCCAACATGAATTTGTAACTTGTTTTTCATATTCCAAATTTTAAATCCCTCTGTCACAAAAGTATCACATCCCTTTCCTAAATCGGGCCTAAACAAGTAACAACATAAACAAAATGCTGCATCTTTTTCAATACTATATTCCAACCAATTTTTGTATTCTTTAAACCAAGCAGAATTAAATCGACGCATAACTCCACTAATATCTCTTTGAGGGAAATTGTGGCTAAGAGGTTGACAGGGTAATATGTTCTTCTTATTTCGTCCCTATCATTAGGATGATATGACAAAATTTTTGATCGTAATCCTGGATCAGAAGGAAGGTTGTTCAAGTCAACACGAATTCGCTTAGAAGAATCTTGAATGTGACTATCACCACAAGTTTCTTGGGACTGAGATGAATCTTGTACAATAGTTGATTTTCTTTTCAGAAATTTGTCCATAATTCGAGAACTAAACAAAAGAGTAGGATGCACCTAAAAATATCCACACAAAAAACAGAGCTATCTAAATAAACCATAGAAAAAAAATAACTACAAGAGTATAAATAAATTGATTATAAAATTTTAGCTCCTATTTAATTTTTAAAACAAATAAAGTGAAGAAACTTCAAAAAATATTATACCTGATGACAACAAAGTATAATCCCCAAATATTATATTAACATGCATAACTATAAAATTAGTTATATATGGATGGAAGGTTTTGTTTATAGTATCAAGTTTAAATAAATTTTAATATTATAGAGATAAAAAAATAATACCTGATAAGATATAATCCCCAAATTTCTTTTTGCCTTTTTCTTAACAATCAGTCAATCTTGGATTGGGTATTCAAAACTAAACTAAACCCAAAAAAATAAATAAATAAATAAAAAATAAATAAAAAATAAAATTTCAAATTTGATGAATACCCTGTGGATGCCATGGAGCTGCCCCTGGTTGTTTTGACAGGCTCTAACAGACATTTTTCTTCATTTTCTTTTTCTTTTTGTTTGTTGGTAATTTTGTTGGGTTCCAAATGCGCAAATCGGATGGGTTTCAACTCTATAATCGAGTCTGCTTGAAACTAATGTATTAATGGTCGTATTAATTGTAATCCGATGGATTGCAACTAGGGCTGAGCAAGGAATTCGTGAAATCCGTAATCCGATCCAGTCCAGTCCAGTCCAATCCAGTAGGTTTGGATTGGTTTTTTGAATCCGTAGTTCGGTTCCGGATTGAAAAATTAAAAATCCGTAGTTCACGGATTGGTTCCGGATTGAATCCGGACCGTATACAAATAGTCTATATTTTTATTATGCACCCTCCTATATAGTATCTTCTCTTATTTCATATAAAACTTAAATCCAAACCTAAACTTGCATAGTATTTTCTTTTATTACTTTTGTTTGCTAGTTTTTAGTGTTAATTTGTAATGGTCTAAATACTTGTGGTGGAACTAGTTTCTTTATGGTTGTTTAAATTCTAGAACAATTTGTCGCTATTATGAAAAGACATATTGCTATTGTGAAACTAATATGGTGCTATATTTATATTTTTATGAAAATAAAGTGTTATATATATTTTTGTTATTTAATTATATAAATCCGTGGTCCTAAACCGATCCAATCCGTATTTAAATGTATTGGTTCGGATTGGTTCCACGATTTAAACGGATTGGATTGGTTCCAATTTTTCAGGATCCGTAGCTAACGGATTAGTTTTGGTTTTATTCCAATCCGGACCATGCTCACCCCTAATTGCAACTCTGCAATTGACTCAACTTGAAACTAATAAATGATCATAATAATGGTGATGGTGGTGGCAACAATATGAAGGTGGAGTGAAGGTAGTGGTAGTGTTGGGAAGAGAGTGGTGGTGGTTGTGGTTGTGGTGTGGTGTGGTGTGGTGTGGTGTGGTGATGGCGTGGTAGCATCCGTAATATTTTAATTTAAAAAATATTTTTCACCTTTTAAAGTAAAAAAAAAAAATTTGTTCATAAAAATTTGTTTTTCGTCGACTACAAAAATAGTTTCGTATTTACTTTCATTTTCTGTTGTACCAAAATGCTAGAAAATACAAAAAAATATTATTTTCCACCTAAAAAAACAAACTGGATTTTCATTCAATTTTTATTTACCAAAGGAAGCAGATCAACCATCTTTCACAAAATCTAAGGATTTAACGAACGGATTCTGGACCGGGATCCGATTTCATACTACAGTTCAGCTAAAAAATGATATTTATTTTCTTTCCTTGAATGGTTGTCGTTAGATCAGTAAAATTTGCATGTAAAGAGTTTAGCAAGTGAAACTTATCCCACATCAAAAAAATACGGAACGAAGAACATGTTTATATTCAACGGAGTGAGCAATTAGGAGCACGACCTTACTTGAACAGGATCTGTTCTATAGGATCGTACATCTGTATCCTTGAGTTCTAAGGAGACAGGACCCAAAGTCTGGTTGATGAATCACGACTGCATGATCAGAGCGTGATTAACAGCTCCTGTAGGCTCTTCTTGGATCCTTCAGAGCCGTAGAGGATCGTTCTCGGCTAGTTTCGACTAGCTGGGTTGGTCATGCGGTTGTCTGACAGACTACCAAATTAACTTTTTGAAACATTTTGCTATGTTTTGATTTGAATGCACAAAGAGGCTTGGTTGGGTCATCCTTCGGAGCCTCCCAGTCCAGTATAGGATCAAAATTTCAGTTTGCTTCTTGTTTTCTATTAAATGTGAAAAATAATTTTTCTGTCCAAACAAACAAAGCGTTGGAGTCAGGGTCACCTAAGTATGAGCCATGGCTACTGAGAAGTCGACTATGAAGCATAATGGAATGTTACGATTCCAAATTAGTTAGCAAAAGTTGTTGACCATCTGCATATAAGATTTTAAAACACCCCTTTTCTTAAAAGCTGGTGATTGTAAAGAGTGTTGAAATCCTCTACTTCTTGGACACTAGTTATGCTTCAGTTTTGTTGGGTTTTTATTCATTTTTTTCCCCCAAAAGAGGCAAATAAACCATTTTTTTACAAATTTATCTAACAGATGTTGCAAGAGGGGTTGTGTCGCTTCGATTGAAATATTCCAGTTGCTACTGTGAGCATATCAAAAGGAGATTCAAAATTGAGATTTTTGAATTCACAAAGAGGGTAAAAAAGCTTTGTATAATTCAATAAAGAACCACTGTTAAATGCTTATTGTAAATTTATAAAAATATATTGATGTGCTTATTTCCCAATCATTGATCTTGAAATAAATGTCTCCATTCCATTCAATTTCATACTATTGCTCAGCTAAAAAAACAAAAAATAGATATTTTCTTTCCTAGAATGGTTGTCGTTAGATCAGTAAATTTGCATATAAAGGAGCTTAATCTTGTTAGAGTTTAATACCATTTGTTATTAATTATCATACTTTTAATGATTTTTTTTTTTCAATAATCAAAACCCATTAAGATTAGATTCACTAGAAAACAACATGAAGCCCGACTTTAACAAATGCCATGTTGAATGCACATAATTACGAAATAAACCTTAAACATGCTAGCTGACAGACAAGTGAAACTTAGTCCCACATCGAAAAATTACGAAGCAACGCACATGTTTATGAACAACAGCGCAAGCAGTGAAGGATACGACCTTACTTGAACAGGATCTGTTCTATAGGATCGTACATCTGTATCCTTGAGTTCTAAGGAGACAGGACCCAAAGTCTGGTTGATGAATCAGGACCGCATGATCAGAGCGTGATTAACAGCTCCTGTTGGTTCTTCTCGGACGCCTCAGAGCAGTAGAGGATCGTTCTCTGCTTGTTTCGACTGGCAGGGATGGTCATGCGGTTGTCTGACAGACTTCCAAATTCTTTTTTGAAAACATTTTGCTACCGTAAAACAATGTTTTTGGAATTCGGGATTGTGAATTTGAATGCACAGACAGACAGGGTAAATATTTCAAAATACTCAAATAAGTAAGTAATAACAACTTTTAAGATGCTAGTTGTGAATTTGAATGCAGATTTCCAAATACTTTTTGAAAACATTTTGATACTGTAAAACAATGTTTTGGAATTCAAGATTCTGAGGGTTAATTTTTTTCCAAAATTCAATGAGTAATGACGGGTATGTTTAGTTTGGCTTTGTATAGTGATTTTGAGAAAAATTTTCTTAAAAACTTGTTTAGTTTATAATTTTTTCAAAATAATTTCGAAGGAACTAAGTAACCAAACAAAATTTGGAGATTTTTTTTGAAAAAATTTGTTTGGTTTGATTACTCTTGAAAATTTGTTTATAGAGAATTTTTCCCAAAAAATTATCTGAAAAACAAACCAAACAAGGTCTTTACCTCTTTTATACATCAATCAATCATTTTTTCTCTCTCCTCTCTTCTTCTCAATCACTTTTTCTCTCACACACATCTACTCAATTACAACAAAATATCAAATCATTTCAAATTTCAAAACTATTTTCAAAATACACAGCTAAACAAATCAAAAAAAATTCTAAACTCTCTCCCCAAAACAATTTTCAAAAACTATCTCCCAAAACCAAACCAAACATATACCCAACAACTTTTAAGATGCTAGCGGTAACTTTGTAAAATGTTCAGTTACTGTAAATTCTATTAGGCATTCGTTTGGATACATGGATTGGATAATCAAAGTGGCTTTGTTTTCTAAATCTAAACATGGACTCACCAAGACTAATACCCCCAAATGTTGCTACATATACATAATGATAATCAGATTTGTATAGTCTCGTTCTGATCCATAACTTGCAACATAAGATGAGTCTTTGGGGCAGTAGTGTAGTGCCACGCAAAGACCCTTCGATGCCTTTGTTAGATGTGTATATTTAAAGAGAGAGTAGAGGCGGAAAGTTTAGAATTTTTAGAATATACCTTAATTTTTTATAGTCTTTGTCTTGGCCCATTGGTAATAGTGGGCCTCAATCTTGCTAGTCTGTGGCCCTTGTGGGTTAATTTACCAACCTCAAGAGCATGTGACTGTGAATAATTAATAGTGTTTTATGATTTTTCCTATTTTGTTTTAAATTTTTTTTTTTATCATGCATGTACATGGCCATATTATTACCGAGGCACATCACCATTTAAAATTTTCAAAAGACTAGATAATTACTCGAGCTTAAGTACGAAAGCCTAGTGCTAGTAGTTGAGCCTAAGCCTAACAAAAAAATACCCCAAAATAAATCTTTGTTGACAAAAGATCCAATTATTGAATGTCTTAAGTGGTATTTGATTTATTAAAATAAAATAAAATGAATAAAAAAAGGCCATTCCTTAAATAAATTTGGGTGTTTTGGCAACCAAATAGAAAGTTTGCTTTTAGTTTTTTACTCATCTTGAGTCACATCACCTCTCATATTTTTTATCTATAAAAAGACAAAATCGACTAAAAAAGTCAAAAAATTAATTTTTTATCAATTTTTCAAAACACTACAATGACTCTTAAATGAAATTTTAAGAAAAAGAGGATCCTTGCTCCACGCAAAGACCCTACGATGCCTTTGTTAGATGTGTATATTTAAAGAGACAGTAGAGATGGAAAGTTTAGAATTTTTAGAATATAACTTAATTTTTTATAGTCTTTGTCTTGGCCCATTGGTAATAGTGGGCCTCAATCTTGCTAGTCTGTGGGCCTTGTGGGTTAATTTACCAAACTCAAGCTTTTACAAATTATGTATATTTCAATATATATATTGTTTTGAGCCGATCATGTGACTGTGACTAATTAATAGTGTTTTATGATTTTTCCTATTTTGTTTTAATTTTTTTTTTTTTTATCATGCAAGTGCATGGCCATATTATTGCCGAGGCACATCACCATTTAAAATTTTCAAAAGACTAGATAATTACTCGAGCTTAGAGCATCTCCAACACTTAACTTCTTTTTTTATCAAATCTGATGAAAAAAATGTCGTTTTTTTCAATTTGATACGAGGCGCTCCAACGGTGAGCATCAAAGCAGAATTAGGGAGGTGGTCGACCGGGTGGTCGACTGGCCGGTTGACCAACCGGTCGACCGGTTTGGGCAAATTTTTTTTTTTTTTTTTTTTTCCTTTTGAACCTTTTTTGACCGGTTTGAACCTAGTTATTTCAAAGGGAACCGGTTGACCGGCTGGTCAACCGGCCGGGCAACCGGCCGGGCAACCGATGTATCTCCTTCAACGGTCAGTAACAGTGATTTGGTAAAATGCAGAACTTGTTTTCAGTTTGATACTTTTTTTGCTGATTTCTCATTTTGATATTCATTTGATGCAACGGTTGGAGCATGGAAAAGTACATTTTTCATCAAAATTTAAATCTGATATCAATTTTGGTTCAGCGTTGGAGATGGTCTTAAGTACGAAAGCCTAGTGCTAGTAGTTGAGCCTAAGCCTAACAAAAAAATACCCCAAAATAAATCTTTGTTGACAAAAGATCCAATTATTGAATGTCTTAAGTGGTATTTGATTTATTAAAATAAAATAAAATGAATAAAAAAAGGCCATTCCTTAAATAAATTTGGGTGTTTTGGCAACCAAATAGAAAGTTTGCTTTTAGTTTTTTACTCATCTTGAGTCACATCACCTCTCATATTTTTTATCTATAAAAAGACAAAATCGACTAAAAAAGTCAAAAAATTAATTTTTTATCAATTTTTCAAAACACTACAATGACTCTTAAATGATAATTTCATAATGTGACAATAAATGTACATTCTAATAGAATGATAATTATATTTCACTTTCATTTTAATGAACAAAATATTACTTCAGAATCTAAAGTCTCACTTACATTTTTTGTCCTAAAAGTGTTTTTCTTGAAAAGAAAAAAAAACTTGGCAGATACTTTTAAATTAGTAGTCCCTAAATTTTAAAAAAATGGATCAAATTGGAAAATAAAAGTCCACCAAAAAATTAAAAAAAAAAAAAATACTTAACCAAATGCAAATTTTACATTTTGTAAATTTTATTTATAATATAATGACAAAAGTTGAAAATAACAACCTTTTTAATTACAATTCCATGACTGAAACTTCCATGCGTTGGCTTTGAAACTTTTTCTATGTCTGAAACACACTTCCCAAAAAGTCCAAAAAATACACTTGGCTTGTCCACATATCAAAGTCCAAACATGGCATTCCTACCAAGATTTTTCTATTTCTGTTATAATAACTAATAAATAAATAAATCACAAAGATGTTTATCATATTAAGCCTCCGTTTGAGAAGTGGGTTGGCTTTTTGATTTTTTGGTTTTTTTGGCTATTTTAGCCTGGGCTTAAAAGCTTGGTTTGGGGAGGACTTTTTGGCTTTTTGACTTTTTTGAGTTTTTTTGTGAGAGAAGATTGTAATGATTATGGGTTAGATGTGATGTTTTGTTTGTTATGGCTAAAATAGCCTATTTTGTTTTTTGTGGCTAAAATAGCCAAAAAAGCCTGCAAACCCACTTGCCAAACACAGGCTAAAATTTAGTACAAATTAGACCGTTCAGCTTTTTGTGTAAATTTCGCCTTTATAATTTTAATTGTATCAATTTTTTATCTTTTAAGTTTTTATATTGTGTTAATTTGATTCGATTGATACAACCACCTCTTCTGAAATTGAATTAAAGTCAAAAGGTAAAATATTTCATTCACACCCGTAAGAGATGTTGAGGGATTTGAATTGACCCATTTTACCCTTGAATTCTATTGAATTTGTTAATAGATAGTATCAACTAGACAAATTAAGGTCAAGTTTGGCATAACTTAAATAATACAAAAAGTCAAAAAGTCACTATTCTATTTAAGTCACATCATCTTATTTAAATCACATCACCTCTCTAACACATCACATCAAACCCAACCCAAACCGAACCCATATAAGCCAATAAGTTAAAAAGTGTACTTTTTTAGAACATCCCAAACCAACCCTAAAATGGTATGAAATATTAAGAGCAGCATCGAAACAATTAGAATTGCAGTACCCAAATTGCCACAAGAAAGAAATTCTAAGAATAACAGGTATGATTTTTTTTTCTAAGATTTAAGAGAGAAAAATTAATAGATGCATGGTGGAGAGAACTAAATTATATGGACTAACTTGAGTTGGTTAGAAAGACAATTTGAGACATCTATCTAACACAAAGAAAATGGAAAGGCTCGGAGGCTAAAACTGTGTTCTAAACCAGAAAATACAAAATTTTCACCAACTCAAAGATGAACTAAAATTTATCAAATTCTCAACCGTCATATTTTACTAAAATTTGATAAAATCTTAAAAAGAGAAAGGATTGAAGATAGTTTTTTTTTTAAATAAAAAATAATTAAAACAAATTTTTAGAATTAGTTCAGATTTTTTCAAAAAAAAATTAAGAATTGAAAATGCTCTAATGTTTTGTAAAAAATTGAATCGTAATTTTCTTCCAAACAGGAATTTTCCATCAATTGAGATATAAAATATTGCAAAAAAAATTCTTGGGTGTTTTATAAGGAAAAGTACAAAAAAGTAAACTATTTGATAACTTGTATTAATAATTTTTTACATTTTTAGTTAAAAACTTATTGTTCTAAACAAAGCCTAAATATAAATATCTCTCACCCTTGAGGACAAAATCTAAAAATTCGTAGGTAAATTATCAATAGATCTTAATAGTTGGATTTTATTTTTATTAAGTCTTATTAAAATCGTCGCTCCAAATAATTTTTTATGACTCTTTTTGCATGTCACTTAAAAAATCGTCACAAAAAATTAATAATTAGTGACATTTTTCTGTGACGAATTTTTTAAACTGTCACTGAAAATTAAAAATTAGTAACATTTTTGTGATGATTTTTTTAAATTGTCGCTAAAATTAATAATTAATGACATTATTT